TCACGCGGACAGGGTCTCTGCGGCACGGGGGCTGCTGTCACTGTTTACACGGACAGTTTTCTGCAACTGTTTACACGGACAGGTTCTCTGCAGCACAGGAGCTGTTGTAACCGGTACTGTGTCTCATGATGCCTTATGGGCGTTTTACACCTGAAATCAAGGTATGTTTATGGTCGTTCGTTTGTGTAGAATTTCCACCTCCCTTTTACAGTGGGACAAAATAGCTCTGCATTTCCTATTGTACCTAAAATCAGAATGATCTGTGGGTTAAGATAAACACACCTGAGACCATTGAACGTGCACAGGTAACATGTGTCTCTCAGAAAAGCCATTTCCAGTCCCCTTGGAGGACTCTGGGATTCCCCATCTCCTCAGAGGTCTCTGTGGTCTTGCAGACAAGATGCCTTTGTCAGGGAGGGAAGCAAAGCAAGGAACGACATGAGCCGGAGGTAGAGATGGGCTCCCAGGCTTTGCAATGCAAGGGTGCTGCTGGCCGAGGACACTGTTAAGATTCCTCAGTTTCTCAGGACATACAGATGTTGGGCTGCATCAGTTTCTCTTACTGAGCTGGGGTTCAGGAGTCACTTGTGGAGAAGGAAAGAGTCTTTTTATAGAAAAGCTGGCATATTAGTTCTGCAGATGTGCCTTGTACGGAGTCCATGTTCCTGGCTCTGTGAGAGATGAGGGACACCCCTCCCGTCGGGGGCTTCAGGTGTCCTCACAGGGAGAGAGTTACGTGCATTAAATAACACGGAGCTTCTGATCTGTAGTAGTGGAAGCTCCAGGAATGGGTTCTCAAGTACGAGAGCTGGAGATGTGAATCTCATGGGAATGAACTGGAGACTGTGGACGAGAAGGAAGAGCTGAGATGGTGCAGGGGGGAGGGTGTTGGACTCAGTGAGATGGAGTTGGAGGCCATTTTGGCAGGGCCCAGCCTGGGCAGGGAGCGTGAGGGCAGCGTGAGGTGCACACAGAGCTGCCACATGGGCTCAAGCACAGTTCAGTTATCATCTCTGGAATGTCATTGTGGCCAAAGTGCACCTAGTTCATTATCTAAATAAAGACTGTTGTTTCCCCTGGTTTCCTGAAGGTTCTGGATCTGTGTGAAAGAATGCCCTGGAGATTTATAGTTCAACTTGGTTCTTATGGGATGCTTGTCTGCCTAAGTTTGTGTGCCTCTGTGGGACTAAATGTGAAGAAAGTTTGTAGATCAGCTGAGCTGCTTCCTTGGCCTCCAGCCTGAGTCAGTCTCTTAGCGGGGACCCGCCCCTGCTGGACTCCTGTCTCCGCACCCCTGCATCTGCTGTCCCCACCCGGCCTGCAGGTTTGCATCTCCCGACCTTCCCTCACAATATCCGGAGGCACGGACGGTGTTCCCGCTGTCTCAGCCCTAATACCAGCTCTCAGTGAGGCCGTCTCAGAGCCTCAGCTTTGTCATCTGAGAGGCAGGGACAGTGTTGGTTTCTGAGGTCAGTGTGATGAAGAGGGGATTAAGCACAAGAGGAATGTGTGACATGTACGGGATGAGTGGACACTCACCCTTTCTGTGTGGAAATGAATGTATCTGCACACAGAAGATCATCAACAGATGTTTATTCAATTTCATCAAACTGAGGCTGGGAGATTGGCAATCCCTGTTTCAAAAGATACGATAAAGACCCTTACATTTTTTCTATTGAAATTGAGGTCCTACTTTACGAAGAAGGAGAAGATAAGTGTGAGAATGTGTACATTCAGGGATCGATCTGGAGCTAAGATCTGAAGAGAATCCTCTTCATTACAGGTAGACACACAGATGCAGACACACAATTCAGTGTTCATCCAAGGCCACACATGTATGGTCAAGAGAAAATGCATGGAGAACAGAAGATCCCATTCCAGTAGCTCAAAATCTCTCTGTCATAGAGGACAATCAGTTTCAAATTTGAAGACCAGCTGTGGTGATTATATATTTAGAGATGGTGTCTAATCGGCCCCTTGGTCCAAACGCTTTCCCCGCTCACCCTGCCTCCCCCCACTTAGTCTTTCCTAATGTCCCCTAATATACCTGTCACAGTTGTGTCTCTGTGTCAGTGTCTGCTTCCAGGAAAATCGACACTCATTCTCCATCAAGTGCACACTTTGGGGTTCCTGTACATGCAGTTAAAAACAGGTAGAGTGTGTAGTATTGGCGGAAGAAGATAGATCATTCTTTGGGGTTGTGTTGCCTGGAAGGGACCCGTCGTTCCATCTGGGGGGCTGGACGCATCCGATAGCAGCTCTGGTGGTGGTGGTTTATTCTGTGGACAGATCCTCATGAGCACATGGCGCCTGCTAGTTTATGGGGTTTGTGCTGAAGAGCAGGGCAGGCATCTGTCTCCAGGAAAGGGTCTACTGTGATGGTGAGGAGTGGATTCAGGAGACCAGAAAGGAGGCCCTGCATGAATCCACCTCTTGTGCCCTTCTCCACCTTACCGGCTGCCCCAAATAGCACCAATCCACGTGGCCTCCAAGGGGGCAAATGGCACAATTTTCGTGGTGAGTCATATGATGTCCCCCAAATCTCCCCCCTGTTGTCTTATTGAGGGGTGGGGAGGGCAGAGGTCAATGGTATGAGATAGGTCCCTTCGACACCACCCAGGAGATTGGGTATAAGCATATGGCTCCTTCTACACTGGCCAATCCAGTGCACTTGGCCCCAGGGACCCTGAACCCTGCAGCCCCCTTTTTCTTCTCAGTTTAGGGAAGCAGCCAGCCCTCCAGCAGCTTTTGGGTCATGGCTGGGCCACCAAGGGTGAGTGTCTGGCTGTCCACATGCTGCCAGCATTGCTATAGTGTCAGCATGATCAGCTGCTGTCTGGGGATTCTCATCCATTGTGATCAGGGCCTGGGACAAAACAAGACAGGAGAGAGGGTGAGACAGGAGTTCCCTCTTCTCCTGGACAGGGCTGCATGCACAGAGCAGATGTCCTGAAGCTGGGGGAGCGGTGGAGAAAGAGCCAGGCAGGGAGAGAGACTAGGTGAGTGATGGGAGAATTTGGCAAGTCATCGAAAGTGAAAAGAAGAAACAGAGAGATAGGGTTTGAGAGAAACAGAGACAAAGAGGAAATGCAAGGAGGAAAGCAGAGACCTGGTCCAGGTATGTGGACAGGGTGACATGGGCCAGGAGAGAGGGGATGTAGTAAGTGGCTCTGAGTGTTGGGGCAGAAAAGGCTGCTATCATGGGCATCAGAGTTCTATAACTCCCAGACTCCAACATCCCTGGGGCCCAGGTCTGCAGAGGCCATTGCATTTGAAAAGATGGGTCCCCCTCATTTCTCCTGGAACTGTCGAGCTCAGCCTCATGTTCTGTCATGGAGAGGGATGTCTTGAGGGAGAGTGTGCTGCTCTTTGGAGGTAAACACCAGAGCCTACCCTGTGGGCAGGTGACCCTGAACCATCTCCCTCAGTGCCCCAGCCCTGTGCATTCCCCCAACACTGGCTGGCCTTCCTCATGGCCTGAACCCAGCATCAGGCATTGTGCTGCCCCCAGGTCCTGCAGCCTGGACCTGGCAGAGGTAGACTGCTGATATTGGTTAAATGTATTTGACAATAAGGTCCATATTGTCCCTCTGGAACTAGAAATGTGCATCAAGATAGTAGGTTGCTATCCTCATGTCCACGGCCGATCTGAGGATGCCAGATGGTAGGTGAACCCTTTAAAACACCATAGTCTTCTTTTACACTGAATTAGAAGACACTTTCTTCTCCTAACTTTGTTTTAATTCCGAAGAGATGGCAATTAGTAATTGAAGGCATAATGGTCTTATAGGAAACTGACCTATCTGCCTGATGGACAGTAACTGATCCATCTGCATCCCTAAATACATTTCATTGAAAATATTAGCAAGATACATATAGTAAATTCATAACAGATGTTTAGCTCCTTGTAAGTCGCATTTCGACCTTGTCATATATGTGTCATCAAAGACATTCTTGGTGACTTTTCAGATAAGTTCTCAACATCAAGATGGTGGTGTTAGAGAATACAGTATAAACAGAATTTCACATATTCTAAACTAGGAATGAATTTTACAAAATTTTTAATGTTCATTTTTTCTGTTTTGAGAGAGTTTGAGCAGGGGAGGGTAGAAAGAGAGGGAGACACAGAATCTGAGGCTGGCTCCAGGCTCTGAGCTGTCAGCACAGAGCCTGATGCAGGCCTCAAACTCATGAACAGCAATATCATGAGCTGAGCCAAAGTCGCATGCTTAACGGACTAAGCCACCCAGGCACCCCAAAGAAAATTTAAAATAGTGTAAAGGATGTCAATTTTTAACTGAAAGACTGCTCACACATTTCTTGTGTTCGTCTTAGGCATACATCCTAGTCATTCCCTATGTCTGTAAATTATGTTGTACTAAACCACAGGTGTACATATCATGTGAAAGCATGCAACACTATTATTACTGGATTGACTCTCTTCCATTGGCTGTACCTTATATCTGTATGACTTATTCATGCCATAGCTGGAAGCCCTTATCTCCCTCTCAAGTTGTCAATTTTTTATCTAAGTATTTATTACCTGTTGTTCATCATGTGTAAATTGGTGGTCCAGGTTTCTGTGAACATTGCTTAAAGCATTACAAATGATGTCATTACTTTAATAAATTCGCTTTCATTCTTGGCTCACAAGAAAGGAGAAGGAAAAGATTTCTTTGTGTCCCGGGCCCTGTCACGAAGATCCTTCCCAATCTAGAGAGCAGGCTTAGTTGCCCAGAGCACCTTCAGTGCCTCACCTGAACAGCCATGGCCTTCACCATTACAGGAATTCCCAAGGTGGCCAGCAGATGGCGTGCGAGCACCACACACCGGGAGGGGCGCGTTCCTCCGCGTGCACAGTGACGGCCGGCAGAGGGCGCCCCGCTGGCTTCTCTGGCCCAGGGCACCTGAGAACGGGAAGGGCTTCTCTTGCCTCCAGAGGACGACTCGGCCTCCGCAGCTGCCTCCGCCCCCCACCCCGCCCCCAGGCCCCTGGAGAGACCTCGGGAGGTTTGCAGCCTCGTGGAGTCTCCTGAGTCACCAGGGAGGAGCTGCCTTGTTGGGCGGAGCGCCGAGGAGGGCGCGCTGGTCGGTGGGCCGCACGGTCCCTCGCGTGTTCTGCGCTGTTGCCTGTTTCATTCCCCACCTTCCCTGACAGTGTTTGGACAGGACGTACTTTACTAAAGGGTCCGTGGATTCAGGGGCCCCACGACATCACATCATAGATGCACTGGATGGTTTGTTCCGGGTTCAGGCTTGTTTCTGGGGAGAAAATGTGACAAATTCAGAAGAACGGGAGCTGCATTCAGTTAGGACGTGAAATGCTCACTCTCAGGACCTTCTAGAAGAATGAGCCGGGAGCCACTTTCCGACTCCTGGAACCAGAGACCGAGGTAAGGGCACAAACTGTCCCCCACATCACACATGCTTTTAAAAAAACTGATGGTTCTTTTTCTAGCGTAATGAAGTAACTGAAAGTTAGAGAAAACCTGGAGGGTAGGTGTAATAAATCTTATGTTATTTTGTTTGCTGAAATTCCAGTTAGTAAAGCTACAGTGTAATACTAGTTTCAGGTGTACGGTGTAGGGCAGCGCCTGCACGCATCACCCCGTGCTCGTCACAAGCGCGCTCGGTAACCCCATCACCTGTCTCACCCCTCCCCGCCCACTGCGGAAACGCTCGGTTTGTCTCCTGGTTAAGAGTCTGTCACTGTCTCCTTCCCCCCCTTCTTTCGTTCCATGGAAGACATCTTAATTTATTTATCAGTTGATGGATACTTGGGCAGTTTCCATAATGTGGCTGCTGTAGAAAAAGCTGCTATAGGGGCGCCTGGGTGGCTTAGTCGGTTGAGCGTCCGACTTTCGCTTGGATCATGATCTCGCGGTTCGTGGGTTCGAGCCCCGCGTCGGGCTCTGTGCTGACTGCCAGCTCGGAGCCTGGAGCCTGTTTCAGTCTGTGACTCCCTCTCTCTCTGACCCTCCCCTGCTCACGCTGTCTCTCTCTCCTAGAAATAAAAATAAAAACATTAAAAAAAAAAAAGAAAAGAAAATGCTGCTATAAACATCAGGGTGCATGTATCCGTTTGAAATATTATTTTTGTATTATTTGTGTGAATAGCTTGTGGTGAAAATGCTGGGCCCAAGGTAGTCCTATCGTCACTTTTTTGAGGAATCTCCATAATGTTTCCGAGTGGCTGCACCAGTTTGCATTCCCACCAACAGCGCAAGAGGGTTCATCTTCCGCCACATCCTTGGCAGCACCTGTTGTTTCACCATTTATCGAGCTTAGTCATTCTCACAGATGTGAGGTGTATTCTCATTGTACTTTTTAAAATGTTTATTTACTTTTGAGAGAGAGAGAGAGAGAGAGAGAGATCGAATGGGGGAGGGGCAAAGAGAGAGGGAGACACAGAATCTGAAGCAGGGTCCAGGCTCTGTGCTGATGGCACAGGGACCAATGCGGGGCTCGAACTCCTGAACCGTGAGATCATGACCTGAGCGTGACCGATCTGACGCCTAGCCGACTGAGCCACCCAGGCGCCCCCTCATTGTACTTTTGAATTTCCCTGATCATCAGTGTTGTTGAGCATCTTTACATGTGTCTCTTGGCTGTCTGCATGTCTTCTTTGGGAATATATATATTCATGTCTTCTGTCCATTTTTAATTGGATTTCTCATTTTTTGGGTGTTGTATCACTTTTTATATTTTAGACACTAACCTTTATCAGATGTCGTTTGCTAATATTCTGTAGGTAGCATTTTAGTTTTCTTGATTGTTTCCTTGGTGACAGAAGCTTTTTATTTTTATGAAGTCCCATTATTTTTGCTTGTGTTTCCCTTACATCAGGAGACATATCTACAAAGAAGTTTGTAAAGTCAATGTCACAGAAGTTACTGCCTGTGTTCTCCTCTGGGGTTTTTATGGTTTCAGGTTTCACACATAGGTCCTTATCCATTTGGAATTTAGTTTTGTGTACGTTGTACGTAAGTGGTCCATTTTTCTTGTTGTTGTTTGCATGTTGCCGTCTAGTTTTCCCAAAACCTTACGGTGAGGAGACTTTTTAAAGTATATTTATTTATTTTTGTAAGAGAGAGACAGCATGCCAAAGAGGGGCAGAGAGAAATGGAGAGAGTGAGAAACCCAACAGGCTTTGCACTGTCAGCACAGAGCCCAACGTGAGGTTTGAACTCATGAACCCTGAGGTCATGACCTGAGCTGGATCCAAGATTAGATGCTTCAGTACTGAGCCACCTATGCGCCCCAAGACTATCTTTTTCCATTGGATATTCTTTCCTGCTTTGTTGAGGATTATTGACTGTATAGGTGTGAGTTCATTTCTGGGTTTCCATTCTATTAATTTTTTTTTTTTGGCCAGTACCATACTGTTCTTTTTTTTTTTTTTTAATTTTTTAAATGTTTTTATTTATTTCTAGGAGAGAGAGAGAGAGACAGCGTGAGCAGGGGAGGGTCAGAGAGAGAGGGAGTCACAGACTGAAACAGGCTCCAGGCTCCGAGCTGGCAGTCAGCACAGAGCCCGACGCGGGGCTCGAACCCACGAACCGCGAGATCATGATCCAAGCGAAAGTCGGACGCTTAACCGACTAAGCCACCCAGGCGCCCCAGTACCATACTGTTCTGATCACTACAGCTTTGTAATATAACTGAACGTCGGGAATTGTGATGTCTCCAGCTTTGGTTTTCTTTTTCAAGTTTCTTTTGGCTGTTTTGGGTCTTTTGTGGTTTCATACAAAAATTAGAATTATTTGTTATAGTTCTGTGACAAATGTTTTGTTAGTTTGATAGGGATTTCATTAAATGTGTAGCCTGTTTTGGGTAGTATACACATTTTAACAGTATTTGTTCTTCCCATCCATGAACATGGGATGTATTTCCGTTTCTTTTGTCCTCCTCCATTTCCTTCATCAGTGTAGCCTTTAGAGTACAGGTCTTTCACCTCTGTGGTTAGGTTTATTCCTAGTATCTTATGGTATTGGGTGCGCTTGTCAATGGGATTGATTCCTTAATTTATCTTTCTGTTAATTCATGATTGGTCTGTAGAAATGCAGCAGATTTCTGTACATTGATTTCTGTATATGGTCATTTGCTGAGTTCGTATATCCAACAATTTTTAAGGGAGTCGTACAAGTTTTTTGTATAGAGCATCATGTCACTTACAAATAGCAAAAGTTCTGCATCTTCCTCGCCGATTTGGATGCCTTTTGCTTCCTTTTGTTGCTGGATTGCTGTGGCTAGGACTTCCACTACCATGTGAAATAACAGTGGTGAGAGGGGTCATCCTGTCTTTTTCCTCACGTTAGAGGAAAAGCTTTCAAGTTTTTCCCGCTGAGGATGAGATTAGCTGTGGGTTTTTCATAGATGACCTTTATTATGTGCAGATGTGGTGAGTCTCCATCTACTTTGCTGAGGGGTTTTCTCATGAAGGGATGTGACATTTTGTCAAATGCTTTTTCTGCATCTGTTGAAAGCATCCTATTGTTGTTCTTCTTTCTTCTATTACTGTGATGCATCATGTTGATTGATCTGTGAATGTGGAACCACCCTTGCAGCCCAGGAGTAGATCCCACTTGATTATGGTGAATGAATCTATTAATGTTTGTTGAATTCAATTTGAAGGTATTTTAATGAGAATTTCTGATACATGCTCACCAGGGTATTGGCCTGCAGTTTTATTTTTAAAATTTTTAAACATATTTTTAATGTTTATTTATTTACTTAGAACATAAAAGTGAGAGGAGGGCAGAGAGACGGGGAGGGAGAGCATCCTGAACATGCTCCACACTATCAGCCCAGAATCCAGTGTGGGGCTAGGACCCACGAACCACAGTGTAATCACCTAATCCATAATTAACAGTAGGACACTCAATTGACTGAGCCCCCCAGGCACCTCTGTAGTTTTCGTTTTTAGTGGATTCTATCTGGTTTTGTTATCAGGGTAATGCTGACCTCATAGAATGAATTTGGAAGTTTTCCTTCTTTTTTATTTTTTGGGATCATTTGAGAAGAATAGGTATTACCTCTTCCTTAATTGTTTGGTAGATTTCATCAGTGAAGCCATCTGGCCCTGAACTCTTGTGTTGGGGGAGATGATTTTTGTATTACTGATTCAATTTCCTTCTGATTTCAGATTTTCTATACCTTCCTGTTTCAGTTTTGGTAGTTCATGAGTTTCTAGGAATCCATCCATTTCTCTCAGAGTGTCCAATATGTTTGCATATAGTTTTTCATAATGTTATCTTCTACCTGTATTTCTGTGGTGGTGTTATTTCTTCTCTCTTAGTTGTGATTTTATTTGAGTTATTTCTCTCTTATTTGTGATAAGTCTGGCTAGGAGGTTTTCAAGTTTTTCAATGTTTTCAAAGAAACATCCCCTAGTTTCATTGATTTGCTCTAGTGCTTTTTTTTTAAGTTTCTATATCACTTATTTCTGCTTTAAACCTCATTATTTCCTTCCTTCTGCTGTCCTCAGGCTTGGAGAGTTCTTTTTCTCATTCCTTTAGTTGTAAGTTTGGATTGTTTGAGACTTTTCTTGCTTTTTAAGGGAGGCTTGTATTGCTATATACTTCCATCTTAGGACTGCTTTTGCCCCGTTCCAAAGTTTTGTGCCAGTGTGTTTTCATTTTCATTTGTTTCAGGGTATTTTCTCATTGATCTGTTAGTTGACTCATTCATTTAGTTGTATGTTGTTCAACCTCCACTGATTTGTGGTCATTCCTTTGCGGGAGTGTGTGTGTGTCTGTGTGTCTGTGTGTGTGTGTGTGTGTGTGTGTGTGTAGTGTGTGTGTAGTTGACTTCAAGTTTCCTAGCTTTGTGGAAAAGATGCTTTGTCTGATCTCATCTTTATGTACTTCTTGAGGCCTGACTTTTGACCTACTGTGTGATCCATTCTTGAGAATGTCCCATGTGCACTTGAAAAGAATGTGCATTCTGCTATTTTAGTATGGAGTGTTCTGAATATATCTGTTAAGTCCCTCTGGTCCAGTGTGTCATTCAAAGGCATTGTTCCCTTGTTTTCTGTTTAGAGCACCTGTCCATCAATTAGTGTAGGATTTTAAACTCCTCCACTCTCGTTATATTATTATAAATGAATTTCTTTATGTTTGTTGTTAATTGTTTTATATATTTGGTGCTTGCATATTGGGTACATAAAAGTTTACATTTGTTTGATCTTAATGTTTGATTGTCCTCTTTATTATGAGATAGTGTCTGTCTTCATCTCTTGTTACAGTTTTAATTTTTTAATTTAAGTTTTAGTTGACATACAGTACATTATCAGTTTCAGGAGTAGAATTCAGTGATTCATCACTTATATAAACCACCCAGCGCTCATCATAACAAGTGCCCTCCTTAATATCCATCCTGCATCTAGCCCATC